TTGCTTTTCCATGAAATGAATTATTAATTATTGTAGTAATTGAATATTATTGTATTTTTCAATGCAATAATTTTATATTTTTAGTATTTTAAACGTATATTTGAAGGTGAAGTTATTTTGTCGCTTATATGTTAAGTTGATTTATAACACGATCTCCTTTGCAGATGCTTCTATACAAACTATTCGAAGTTTGGAAACCACAGAAATTCGAGGAACATTTCAAAGATATACAAAAATTTTATCGGGAGCGACGTGACACAGTGCTAGCCATGGTTGAAAAACATTTAACAGGTATTTCGAAAACTTATTGCAATAATTTTTATTGTCATAAAGATTTAAACAGAATTTTATCGGAGATATTTATCGATTGTTTTAAAATATCAGAGTGATTTTAAAATACCGAATATTTTTTCCTATATAGGCCTATATCCTATATCCACTTTCCTGTATCCACTTTGGCTAATATAAATATAATTCTTCATCGAATCATTTATTGTTATTATTATGCTTTCTAATCGTTAACATTACATTTTTCAAAAATTAATTTATTATTATTTAATTAATATTATTTTAGTAATTATTTTTAATTAATTATTAATTTATTTTTAATTAAAATTTCTCTTTCCTTTCCCATTCCCTCTCTCTCTCTTTCTCTCTCTCTCTCTTTCTCTCTCTCTCTCTTTCTCTCTATTGAAAAAAATCCACTTGATATAGCGCACAATGTTGTGATTTATAAAGCGTAAATATGTACATATTAAAAAATAGTGTTAATAAATAAGTAATAATTAAAAAAATAATTATACCTGTAAAAAGTAATTATAATTATACATGTAAACTAAATTTTTAATTCAACTTTTATTAATTAATTAAATTGAGATTATATAATTTGTATATAATATAAATTTTAAATATCATATAAATTTTTTTTATCATAAATATTTTTAATTCTATAAAATATGTATGAATAAAAAGAAATCAAATTTCCATATAAATAATTATAAAAATGTTGTATATGTACTTATTTACGTAAAATTGTAAAATTACATTTTTAAAAGATTTAAAAAGATTTTAAATATTTAAAATAAAAGATGGGATATTTTATATATATTTTATATACATTTTATTTGCATAATATAAAATGAATTATTAATGTAAAGATTATATTTCGAAAATGCCCCAAGTTAAAAAAGATCTATAACGTACGTAACGCGTAAGCTCTCTAAAAAAAATTTCCATTACTGGCAGTGTATATCGTATTATAATCTGAGAGCAATTAATGTCAATAAGTGACAAATAATAAATTAAATCAAAAATTGCACATTAGTGCAAATTGCTTACATTAGATTAGTTTAGAGTTGTATCGCCGACACAAGATGTCCTCAGGTTTTATCTTCTTGCTCATCTTTTGCTGCTTGCTTTTTCACGACACTCACTCGCTGCTATTATGCACAACACTCTTGATATTATTTGCACGCGACGTGTATTTCATTAATTAAGTATATTGTGTCGAGAGAACAACTCAAAAAACTATGATTCATTCGACGACATAATTATGCGATAGATTTCCATCGAACAAATAAACGTGTTAACATATCATCGATGTACAAATGTTGAATTTTTACGACAGATACGAAAATATGACATTATTTATGTACTTATTAACAATATTTATGTACTTATTAATTAAATGTGTCACATCGTCATTTGACTTAGAGTTATTTGACTTAGAGTTGATTTCTCCTTCTCGCGACATTTTCTTAATAATGGAAAAATTCAAAAATGATCGTAATCAACGATTAGCGATTTTATTTCGATTTTAATCAATACGATTAAAAGCGAGAGCGAGATACAATAAAACCGAAGATGTAAATAATACAATTCAAATTAAAAATTTCAAAACATTTCGAACGTATCAATTTTTCTTGCAAAATTATTACTACAAATAAATAAATAGAGCGAAATGTCATCTTTTACAAATAATTGTCGTTTTGTATCGTAGAAATTAATTACACGAGAGTTACTAATAATCATTAATTGTATCGTAATTGTATCGTTTTGTATCGTAGAAATTAATTACACGAGAGTTACTAATAATCATTAATTATTATAAGCAAAGAACATAATCGCGTTGAACATTCTCTCGCAACGGCGTTTCGAACAATAATGAGAAGACGAAGTATCCCTACCTGTCCGTCCGAGTCTATCGCCGCGCAAATGACAACAATCGTATATAAACAAAGCGCGCGTACGTCACAGAGAAAGAATGTCGAACGAATTAACTATATCATTGTCACCACGAAATATTTAAATTATAATGTAGAGTAAATGAATATAAAATATTCCGTATTTGGTATCGGTTCTCTTAAAATTAATAAACATGTATATCGTGACTTTTCGTCACTTCTCATTAAATGACTGCGGTATATATAGTTTTCATTTGAAAATGATGAATAAATTATATTTAAATATTATATGTTCAAAACAAACGCTAAATTTTAGCCGCGTCAATAATTTCAACGAGATTTTATTTTACATCGTTCAAAAATCGATATTTTGATATATTTCGGTGTTTTCATTTAGGAAATTTAATTCTAAATCAATCGAGTAATATGTAATAAGTAATTTTTTACACACTGTATATTTTTTATTCTACTTTTTATTCTAAATTTCGATATTCAAAGTAGTTTTAAAATACTCACATGCAGAGTTAATATATCTTAGGTTTGGCGGAATGGTACGTCCCGCAAGGTGGATTCTTTCTTTGGGTCAAGCTGATATCTATAGATAATGTAATGGACTTAGTGATGAAAAAATGCGTGCCTCAAGGTGTCGTCGTTGTTCCTGGAAATGCCTTTTACTATGATCCTTCAAAACCTAGTAAATACTTAAGATTGAGCTACAGTTATGCCTCGCCGAAAGAGATAGACAAGGTAAATTGTGAATTTATTTTGATTTTATATGTATATATACATATGTACACATGTATATATATATATATATATATATATATATATATATATATAAGAGCTATATTCACATTTTTATACACATAGAAAAATGTATCAGAATAATTGGATTTAAAAAAAAATATTTGATACAGCAATATTTTCTATCACTTTTCAGGGATTATCTATAATAGCCAAAATAATACGCGAAGAAGTAGCGAAGAAAAATAATGTTGAAGGAGCATGTTGCATGTGAACGGATTTTTATCGTCGCGTACATATTATCTAAAGTTAAGTATTTTTTATTATATATATAATCTCTTAATAAAATAATAACTTCTATCTTTACAATAATTTACAATTTCTATTTTATGATTTCTTGATTTAAAGAGAAAATATTTTCAAAATAAATCATTTTAAAAGATATATTTTAAAGAAACTGTATATAAAATATTAGAATGTATATAAAATATGTATATAAAATATTAGAAATAAATGACAATTTATAAATGATTTATCACATATTGTTGCTCCGTACGTTGTCCGTTTCTTTTCCATTCTCGATCTTCTTTACCTTTCTTGTTCATTCTGTGTTATTCCTTTATGACACTCACACTCGCTCCCGAAAACACGTTTAATTACAGTTAATCATATGCACAGCGGTCGCGGAGATACTTTGCATAACACTTCCAACCACGGAATAATCACACGAAATACGTATTTTATTATATTATAAGAGAACATGGGAGAAATATAATATTCGTTTATATGAGAAAGGTCAAAATCATATATTAATATTATTAATCTTTTGATGATGCATTAATATGTGTATACTACATCAACAATAAAAATAGTATTTATAACGAATACGTGTATAATTTTGACCTCTCTCATATAAACATCGAACGAATAAAATATTTATCTCATAAAATAGCAATCGTTTAATTAATAATTAATTTATGCTCACATTTCAGAAAAATTTAAAGCATTGAATCTAATATATTTGACTCTGTGACCATTATTAAATAAATAATTATTAAAGGATCGAAGGATAGTAACGAAAATTATAATTTTTATAAGTCTTTCTATAAGTCTTTTGCCCAACGAGAACTCCCTGTTCAAAATCTCAGATTCTTTTCAATTAAAATCGTAACCAAATTCAAGTTTAATTGAGCCAAAGAGTTCTCCGAGATGCTGTTTATCAAACGCCAAAAACATAGCTAAAACTTGCAGAGTGATACGGCTTGCATCATGCATTTGCGATGATAATCGATAATTTATCGAAAATATGAGGCGTTCATTTATATGTTTGTTATCATTCAGTCATCTGAGTTTGTTGTTGAGTCATGTTTCTGATATAGATTTATAGAAATAGATTCTGCGCATCCTTGTACAAGAGATTGTTTTAAACATTAGAAAGAGAGAGCGATAGCGGTCGGATCTCTTTCTCTCTTGCACCGTTAAAGGAAAGGAAAATGGATAGGAAAGGAAAAGAGATAGCGCGCGATCGATCGATCGATATCGAATAGAGCGTTTAATGGACAGCGTAATATAATAAATAAATGTTATCTTAAATTTAAAGAAAAAAAACCAGCAAAAAAGGCGATGAAAATAATGACATACATGCTTATAAATATACGTGATTACATTCACACACACAAACAAATATACACACATACACATACATACACACACGTACAAGACATCAATAAATTGGAGAATAAATGTTATGAATATATTTCAAAATTTCTATTGTCCCTTTAGCACCTTCCCTTGAGCAACGTGATTATATTTGAGTATCTTTGCTCAAAATCTAGAAGTTTTGATTCGCAATTTTATAACGTAAAAAATGTAAAAATAAATGTAACTGTAAATGTCTCTTCAATGTGTGAATGACCGAATCACCTTGATCAATCACAATTCTTAATCTTGTTGATTTTGATGTAATCTCCACTTGCGTTTAGCTCATGTCATTGATTATGAAGTAAAGATAAAATTGTGAAGTCTCTCTGTAAACAGTGATATATCCAATTAGAAGCTGATACTAACGTTTTATTAGTAATATAACATTAATTCGAGTCAGTCAGCAACAAGTATTCGTAATCGCAAGAGTGAATAAGCACAATTGTAACAGTTACCGTGCGCGATATAACTCTCATTATGGATTACACTAAATTCTATTCTGAAGTCACCAATAGACGAAGAAACAACTTAATTTTACACTTGTGTAAGTTATCATTGTATATCATGTTTTCTGTGTTTGCATTTGCTCTTTTAGTTTTATACGAAAAAAAATGTTTTCCTTCAATTTTTTATATAATACATATATATTTTTATTCACATATTTCTTATACAATTACTTTCTTACTTTGGGAATTAAAAAATCGAAATTCGATATATTTAAGTTTAAGCAAATATATCGTTGAATGAGACATGTAATAAAATGTTCTTACATTTTTTTGCAATATTTAATGCACTTTATATACTTATTGTTAGATTTTGGAAATATAGTTTTCAATAGAAGTATTTATTTATATTATTATATTATATTAATAGTATTTTATTATTATATTATTATTATATTATCATATTATTATTATTATCATCATCATATAGTATTATTATATATATAATTATTATATTATTAGTATATTTTTAATGAAATTTATAGAAATAATGATAAAAAGTGATATATACTCTCTATCATTCTATAAATTTTAAAACATTTACAAAAACTAAAATATACACGTTTTAATTCCAACTTTAGGAAAATATATATTAAATAATTTTAAACGCAAGAGCACCTTTTTAATTGATGGTGATGCTGGTCTCTTCAATCAACGCGCGAATGATCGAATCATTGATCATATTCTCGATCTTGTTGATTTTGAAAGTATGAATACGCAGCGCGCATATTCATACAAATTCAAAAATTAAGTTATCCTTTTCTAAATAGACTAATACATGGATATCAAACTAATGTTAATCTAATACATGGATATCAATCTAATGTTAATCTAATGTTATATCGCGTTTTAAATTTCAAAATAGATGATCTATACATGTCTCATCCAAACGGTATATCTCTTGCTGGTGCTTTCCCAAGTGCCGCTACATATCCTGTTGAAGATATTTCCGTGACATACAAACTCGACAATTTGATAAAATTTAGCAAACCTGAAGTGACTGCAGCGCAGCAATATCATTCTGCACAAGGGTGAGCAAACATATTACTAAACAAAATTAATGCTTTACAATAATAAAATGAATAAGTATATACAGAAAAAGAAAATGTCAATTTGTCAAATTTTAACTTGTTATATCTTCTAAACTAATGCCGTCCCTCATTTATTTTTTGCGGATAATTACTCAGAACAATCTCCTTTATAACATATTAAAGCGACGATAAAATCAGTGCTGTATAACCTTTTATGCACTTTTACCAAAAATTAATTATTCTAAAAGTAATTTAAATCTTCTAATTTGATTTTTTCGTTCAACATTTTCGCATATAAACAAAGTCGAATTTATTACAGTTTTATCGAAAATTACTATATACTTATCGCATTTTAATAATTTTTGGACTACAAATATAGTATGCAATTAAATCGTAATACGTTGAAAAATTATAATAGAGATAGAAATAGAAATCTGTGTACAAATATAGAAGATCGGAACATATATCAGGAATTAATGGATTATATCACGACTAAAATTATAATTTTTTAAGAATCGTATTAGCCGAATCTTAGATAAATTAAGTTTATTATTTTTTACATTTTATATTTATATTAATATTTATTAAAAATTTATTATTAATTTTTAATAATTTTTTTTTTAATTTATGTAATATTTTGTTTATATTTTGTCTATTTTATATATATAATAATTTTATATTACTTATCAATGTGTAATAAACATCAATATAACAAAAGAATAAATGTTTATTAGTTTATCTATAAATATATCTAGACATTTTTATTAATATATATTCTAATATATCTGGTTTGTACACATTTTGTACATTTCCGTATATCTTTATTTTTCTCAAGTTATAAACCACTATTGGAAAAATGGAAGGAATTCCAAAAAATGTGGCATACACCAATGCAAAACAATTGGGATGTCGCAATAACGTGCGGTTCCCTGGAGGGTTCCAGTAAAATCTTTGAAATGATGATCAACAAAAATGATCCAGTTTTACTCGAAACGCCAGCATATTCTGGAATAATTGGAGCGGTTGGTAGTTTTAAAATAATATTCCGAGGAAATAATAAGTTTTAATAAAAATAGTTCATTTTCTCTTCTCAAAAATAAAACACATGTCAAGTACATAAAAAAGAATCCAAACTTGTATATAATAAATAGGATTTTGAAAAACAAAAAATTAAAACATACATGTACTAACATTCTTTATCTATAAAACAAAAGTTTTTCACTTACCGATCGATGCGCAACAGCGAAATTGACCATGTTGAGAAGCTACATTGATCTGCAACATACAAATATAAGATTCAGATTACAATATGCAACAATTACATACAGCACACACACAGTGCTCAAAATATTTAAAACTAATATTTAAAAAAATTATTATAGCACGGATCGACTTTTTGATATGTATATATTCCGACAACAAAATTATTATGCTTTAGGAAGATAACATATAAAGGTCTTCGTCCCTCATTTTTATTTAAATTATTTAAAAGACGAATCACATAAACAAGAATAAACATGGGATATATATTAATGAAAAATAATAAATTATTCACCCCAAGGTTGCTCCACCATTGCTCGATGAGTTTCGTCCTCCGCTCATATTGTTAGAATTTGTTTCACTCACTCGCGAAAAAAATATAAAATATAATTCAATTAAAATATAATTACTATTTATTATACGACATGTATAAATATGAACGACATATTATAAATATGAACGCGCGATACTTTGCATGGCATTCTCGCACTCAAATACGTAATATTTTGCACGACTCTCTTGCACTTGAACGCATAACACTTTATACGGCATTTCCGAATTTCATAATATTCATACAATCGTAATACCATATAATCGTGAAACAAAGATTAAGCAGAGAGAGACGAGATTGATACGACTGAAACTCCTAATTCTTGTCTTATTCGAATTTCAGAGTCACTCGAACTTGCCTAAACACACAATTCTTTATAAAATAAATTATTAAATTTATTATATTAATAAATTATGTAATATATATTACTAAATGTGTGTGTTTTATTCAATGTATTACGAATTAATTATTAACTTGTTGATAAATCAGCGCTCTCAGTCCGGGAAGATAAAATATTTATAAAAATATTTATGATTAGAAAATTTTGTTTTGTAATATTTATTAATAATTGACTTATAATATAATAAAACAATTGACATTAATGTAATGAACTAGAGCAATTTTATATTATAGATATAATTGTGCAAAGAATATAATTATTAATAAATTTAGCGATCTTTCTTTCGTAAAAATAGACATGTACATTTTCCAAACAAGTTCTCAAAAATTTTTTTTTATTTGCAGTTAGCACCGCTGTCACCAGATATTATAGAGATCAACCAAGATGCCGAAGGACTCATTCCCGAGGAGATTACTAAGGAATGCGAGCAAAGACTTGCCACTGGTAAACCGATGCCAAAAGTGAGTCAAAAGATTTGCAGTATCGAATAAAATATATCTCTTCTTGAAATCATAAAATAATAATTTATCTTCGCTTTTCAATTTTCATCCTAAATCTTTACTCGTGACAAATCAATTTTCATCCTAAATCTTTACTCGTGACTTTCCGCTTTTACTTCTAATTCAAAAGCTTCAACATTTCCATTGAGAAGAGATCAATATCAAATACAAATTACTCGAATAACATGCTTATAGAATTTATGAAAGCATTTTGATAACATTTTATGTAATTATACACACACATTACAAACAAATCCGCAAACGATAAAACTCGTAACAAATAATTAACAGTTAATTTTGCGTATTTGTATGCGAAATGTAATTACATAAAATGTTATCAAAGTGCTTTGATTTTAATTTTTCATCTGATTAATATAATCTAATATTAGGACATTATTTCTACTAATCAGAAACAAGTATAATTTAATAAATCTTTCAGTTACTTTACACTAATCCGACAGGAGCAAATCCTACAGGCACCGTCTTGTCGGAGACCCGACGAAGGAAAGTGTACGAATTGGCGCAAAAATACAACTTTCTGATCGTCGAGAACGATTCTTACTACTTTGTTCACTTCTTAGATAAACAGCCTACATCATTTTTCTCTCTCGATACTGATGGTCGCGTAATCAGATTGGATTCGATCAGCAAGATAATGAGCACGGGGTTTCGCATCGGAGTCGTCACAGCCCATAGAGACATTGTGAAAAAACTGACTCTTCATATGGACAGTTCTACTCTACAAGCGTCATCTTTGTCCCAAGTAAGACTTTTAATACTGGTTAACTTATAAATATTATTTTATATATTAATTTATATATAAAAATTTATATTTATAATTATTATAAATATAATTTATATTTACATTATCAAAAAATATAAATTACATAAAATATAAATTACATAAAATATTATATAATATAATATATTATATATATATATATATATATATATATATATATATATAATTATTTACAATCAAGCATGTCTTTAAAAAGAAAATTCTTTATTATTACAATTATCTTGCTTTACATCCACAACTTTGCTTTTTTATGGAATAAATTATTGATTATTGTAGTAACTGAATATTATTATATGTAACCTCGATATTTTATATTTCTAGTATTTTAAACATAAATTTGAAGATGAAATTATTTTGTAATATGTATAGTATATGTCTAGTTGATTTATAATCGATCTCCTCTGCAGATGTTTTTATACAAATTATTCGAAGTTTGGGGATCACAGAAATTGGAAAAATATTTCAAAGATATACAAAAGTTTCATCGGGAGCGACGTGACATAATGCTAGCCATAGTTGAAAAACATTTGACAGGTATTTCAAAAATTTATAGCAATAATTTTTATTGTTATAAAGATTTAAATAGAATTTTACCGGAGATATTTATCGATTATTTTAAAATATCAGAGTGGTTTTAAAATACCGAATATCCTTGTGATCCTATATAGCCACTTTGGCTAATATGAAAATAATTCTTTTTATCAAATCATTTATTGTTACTTTTTTATCATTAACATTACATTTTCAATAATTAATTTATTAGTATTTAATTAATTTATTATTATCATTGTAGTAATTTATTTTAAATTAAAATTTCTCTTTCTCTTCTCTCTCGCTCTCTCTCTCTCTCTCTTTCTCTCTTTATTGAAAAAAATCCACTTATTAAATAAAAAATATATTATTGTTTAAAAAAAAACTAGTCTAAAATTTAATTCGCTATAAAAAATCATTTATTTTATATTTCGTTAAAGTTCAAAGCGTTCTTGAAAACTTTTAAATTTGTTCATATTAAAAAAACCTTATTGATAAAATAGCAAAGCGCACAATATGATGATTTATAAAGCATAAATATGTATATATTAAAAAGTAGTGTCAGAAAATAATTAATAATTAAAAAATAATTATAGTATTTAAACTAAATTTTTAATTCGACTTTAATTAATTAATTAAATTACGATTATATAATTCGTATATAAATTTTGTATGTAAATTTTTTTAATCATACATATTTTTAATTCTATAAAATATGTATAGATAAAGAAATCAAATTTCTATATAAATAATTATAAAAATATAAATAATACAATGCAAATTTAAAACTTCAAAACATTTCGAACGTATCAATCTTTCTTGCAAATTTTATTACTACCTCAAATAAATAAATAGCGCGAAATGTCTTTCGTAAATAATTGTTGTAGAAATTGGATAAACACGAGAATTAATAATAATCATTAATTATTATAACTAAAAGAAAATCGCGTTAAACATCCACTCGCAACGTTTCGAACAATAATGAGAAGACGAAGTACCCCTACCTGTCCGTCCGAGTCTATCGGCGCGCAAATAACAACAATCGTATATAAACAAAGCGCGCGTACGTCACAGAGAAAGAATGTCGAACGAATTAACTATACAATTGTCACCGCGAAATATTTAAATTATAATATAGAGTAAATGAATATAAAATATTCTCTATTTGGTATTAGTTCTCTTGAACTTAAAATTAATTATTAATAAACATGTATCGTGACTTTTCGTTATTTCTCACTCAATGACTGCGATTGGTATTTATGCGATTTTCATTTGAAAATGCTGAATAAATTATATGTAAATATTATATATCCAAAAAATAAAACAAACGCTAAATTTTAGCGCGATAATTTCAACGAAATTTTATTTTACATCGTTCAAAAATCGATATTTTGAAATGTTTCGGTGTTTTCATTTAGGAAATTTAATTCCAAATCAATCGAATAATATGTAATAAGTAATTTTTTTATACACTGTGTACTTTTCATTCTACTTTTTATTCTAAATTTCAATATTCAAAGTAGTTTTAAAATACTCACATGCAAAGTTAATATACTTTAGGTTTGGCGGAATGGTACGTGCCGCAAGGTGGATTATTTCTTTGGATCAAGCTGACGTCTATAGATAATGTACTAGATTTAGTGATGAAAAAATGCGTGCCTCAAGGTGTCCTCGTTGTTCCTGGAAATGCCTTTTACTATGATCCTTCAAAACCTAGTAACCACTTAAGAATTAGCTTCACTATCTCGCCAGAAGATATGGAAAAGGTAAATTGTGAATTTATTTTGATTTTATATGTATATATACATATGTACACATATACATACACATATAAGAGCTATATTCACATTTTTATAGAAAAATGTAGAATAATTGAATTTTAAAAAATATTTGGTACGGCAATACTTTCTATCACTTTTCAGGGAATATCTATACTAGCCAAAATAATACGCGAAGAAGTAGCGAAGAAAAATAATGTTGAGTGAGCATGTTGCATGTGAAAGGATTTTTATTATCTCATACGTATCTAAAGTTAAAAATACTTATCTAAAGAGTTAAGTATTTTTTTATTATATATAATTTCTCTTAACAAAATAATAATTTATCTTTACAATCATTTACAATTTCTGTTTTACGATTTCCTGATTTAGAAAGAGAATATTCTTGAAATAAATCATTTTAAAAGATATATTTTAAAGAAGCTGCCTAATATAAAATATTAAAAAATATATATTTTATTAAGGAAATTATAGAAATAAAAACAGTTACATTAAATATCTCTACTTATTATACATATTACATTTTGTAGATTTGTGTTGTTAAGATCAATAAGTAATTGTGTATTTTTGGAAATCCTCTAATAAGGTTTCTGTACTTTTAAAACGTCGAATGCCATCTACACATCGAAAAGCTGTGATCGGTAACTTACTGACAAATTTTTCTGAGTATGGTTTAATATCTTACTCTATTTGTATATGGACGGAATGCTTTATTAATTAATAACAGTATTAATTTCAAAATTTCATCATCAAAATAACGAGCTATAAGTCAAATCAGCTTAAGTGATAAACACAATTTCTGTTGTAGAAACGTTTAATATATCATATCATAGGTACGTATATACATTTCTACGAATATGATTGAAATATGATTATAACTTGTAGAAATTAAATTACACATAAATTAAATATTCAAGTATTTATATCAAATGATTCAAAGCTGTCGGTAATGTCAATACTCCCCGAATAATTTTAGCCAGAATTGGAGGACTTTAACCCTCAGAACATATAATATCGATCTGGTAGTACCGCCATTAAAATGCTATCTAAAAATACGTCTTTTATTTTAATAAATAATTAATTTGTACAAGATTCGTACAATATTTTTAACCTCTTAATATTATTTTAATTTATTGCATTCGTGGATTCTAAATTAGAATTAATATGCGATTTTTTTACGAATTATAAAAAATTGGAAAAATTAATTTGGTAATTTATCAGACTTATATGACCCTAAACGATTGACTCGAAAGATAAAATGTCAGCATCGTGTTATCAGCGAGCCGTAATTCAAATATTGTAATTAGATCGATATCATTGTGTTTTGTGATAATACATAATAATTTGTTACGAAAACAAACACACATTTCATATGTGAATCTCTCTTCCTATTTATATTCATGAATTTATTTTTATTTGATATAAAGCTTTGACACAGATTAAATATGTGAACAAATCAATATCTTCTTGTCGAGACATATTTTCTTAGAGATATATTTAAATTTCACATATTGTTCTATATTAGATTACAAGCAAGAGAGACAGTTATAATGCGGCAATGCTTTTAAAGTAACATTCATACTCGCGTAAAATTTAAGCTTATCGATCCTTAAATAAAGCAACAGAAGTCTTTTCACCCCGCACCGAGGGTGCGATATCGATAGGAGATGTCGCTTCAATCGAGGATGCTGTCAAAAATTTGACATTTAATAAACATGTGAATTTTTCCATAGATAAACAGAAATAAATAGAGATAAACTAAATAGTGTACTATCGGAATAAACGACAAAAATAAAGTACTTTATAACGTTGTTTTTTTTCCCTCGAATCTTCTTCGATTATCGAGATTCGCGTCGCTGTAACGATAAAAAATCCATTATTTTTAATCTAATAGGTAGTATAACGCACTATTAATTAAAGGTCTTATATAGACGACGATTTGCTGCAATATTTGTTCCACATCCTCGGCAATTGCTATCCTTTCCTCTCGGGAGGTCAACGCTCACCAATCGCGTTTCCCCGAGGGCGACAAATTGTCCCCACTCTCTTACCTCGGTGCGACACTTATAGAGAATTAATAGCAGCTTTTATTGCGAGTTCTCTGCAAAGTAACCGGCGAAATTGCCAAAAAAGTTTAAGTCGATCTATGACGACGACGACGACGACGACGACGAAGCAACGCAGGCGCAAACGTGCCGTTTCCATGGCATCCTTGCCATATACGTGGTTAGGTAATGTTGGATTAGACACTACGCCGACCCCTCTTCGGGGGTAACGTTCAGTACACCTTAAACCATCGTCGCGGTTGAAAGATCACTTGTACCTCCGTACTCGCACGTGTATACACGCGCACGCATACGCGTACGCATCAGCGGCACCCACGCATCGGCGAAGCGAAAACGCGTGGTTTATTCACCCCTCTGTTTACGGTCGCCGGTCTGCGTATCCGCTCGTTTGTTTATCCATTTCTACCCTGTTCTTATACAGCTCGTCAAGCATTTCCGTTCATTCATACAATTGTGTTCGAATGTAGTGTTCAATTATCATCGCGATCATCCTGCCCGTCGTTCGATGAAAGTCGGAATATACCCTCGATGATTTTATGTCGGTGATTTACGTGTCGCAGCTTTAATCGCATCCCCCAGGAAGTCACGTATAAAATCAAGTCACGGTTTCGCTCGAATCCAGCTGGACTAAACTCAACTCTTGCCCTTCGGGGAGGAGGTGGGCTTCGCCACTAATATCAGCATAGAATCTTAAAATCCAGACTGCGTGAACGTAATCGAACAGTGTCGTGGGAGCGAAAGTGGCGGGTGGTGTGTTTACTGCGGTGGCGGCGAGGGTATTATCCTGACGGAACTAAAACTGGTCAGTAACACGGGGTGAGTCGAGTTGCTTGGACTCTTCGTAATGCGTCCTTCGATTGTTTTTATAATCTGAGATTCTGTTGATGCATAGATCCAATGAATTTCATCCCATAAGATGTATACTCCTAGACAAAATTAACGCATAATTTTTTTCACTTTTTCTTTAAAAGCTGATATTTAAATTTCAACGAAAAATTTTAAAGAAAAAGTGAAAAAAAGTTATACGTTAATTTCGTCCAGGAATATATAATGCATGCGTGATATAATATCCTGAATAAATCGTTTTTAGAGAAAAAAAATGTAATTCGCCTTCTGGGATATTCTTAGAAGCGAATGTAACTGCATTAAAGAAATTTTATCTCTGCGTTTAGTATAGAAATTCCAATGTTACTTAAATCGTTTTGTCATTCCTTTCTCTACATTCTTTTCTCAATTTTTAAATGCAACATTTTTCTCTTTATTTTCTCTTTCAAAAGTATCTTGTAAAATCTTATAAGAAATTTTTATAAAATTAGAAATAATTGTTGCAAAATTTTAAATATAATTAGTATGTTTTTTACTCTTATTTTTTTACTTTGAAGTTTATAAAATCATTAAGCATGAAAAAGAATTAGAAATTTAGCTTCTAATGCTTTAATTTTATAATAACAATGTATAATATAATTTATAATAATATATATGTATAATTAAATATATTTAATTGTTATCATCTGACAAAACATTCTACAAAATTCAATCAATTAAAACTAACTAAATAAAATATAATTAAATCCAACAATTAAAATATATAACTTTATCTCGCAAATGCATATATATTGAAATTATTTTTTAATAGGTATTCAGCGAAAATTCCAGTCTTCATAATTTGAAAGCATGAATAAAATAATCAAATAATTGCGAGCGCTAATATTATTATTAATCAAACAATGCAAATTTACATATGCCATTCACACATGTGTAATTATTGTTACAGAGAGAGAAAACAGTTTTTTTTTCTCGCCCACACAATTTTCGACGCTGAACGTCGGGGCCACATTTGCAGAAACGTTAGAATGATCGATCCGCGGGTTGCTATGACAAAAATAGACAAATGCTCGTAATGTGTCCCCGCATAGAGGGTAAATATGTTCGGCCGGCTACATGCCGGCCGTATTAATAGAAAACATAGAGCATACAGATGTATACATGTATGCGCGTATAGGGGTGCGCGTAACGGAACGACACGGCCGAGTCGCGCAGGCGCTACCTGTAGAGAGACTCGACGGAATACGTGATGATAAATACTAAATTTAACCCCCGGGTGAAACGTCAGGGTATCCGGATCGATAACACTTTTCTGGCGTCTCTCGTTCTTTTTTCATCGGCGAGACGTGACTTCACGCGTATGTAGGGCGTTTATATAAATCGCGTTGACCACAGAGGTCGCGTGCCCCAGAGGTCCGTGTGATAGGTCCGATATACGTATCATGTACGATAAAGCCTTCATTAAAATTCCAAAGCGCTTAAAATTCCGCTTATCAGACCGCGGTAAAAATTCGCGCGAGACACTATGAGACACGGCTATGGGAAGTGTACTAACTGTCCAAATCATAATAAAATGCGGCCTTCGAAAATTTCACCATGGAATTTTTAATAGCTAAAGTAATTTTTTTTTAATATCGATGTAAGAAAAATTTGTGCGTTAATTAAAACTTTCATTACCGTTTCGTAATCATGCGTATCATAATGCGTATATATATATATATATATATATATATATATATATATATATCCGTAAATAAATACAAATTGAATATAAAATATTTCAAAATCAATGAAATATACCTAAAATTGTTATTTATAAATATTATTTAATTAACATAATTAATAATATTAATAAATATTTTGCACTATAAGCTGAATGATGAATTATGGCTAATTAATTATTACGGGACCTATTAATTTTTGTTCTAACAATAATTTTAAAAGCGAATTATAAATAAGGCATATGATAAAAAAAAATAAGATACATAAAATCTGAAAAACTTATATTTTCTTATTTAATATACTACTAATATGTATAATTGTATAATACAATTAATATTAATTTAATTTATTAACAGCAATTTATTTATTTTTTTTAATTTTAAATTATCGGTTTCTTCTTGAATCTGCTACTATACAAAAGGAGGAATATGTACATGATATTTCTAAATATTTTATAAAAATATCTATTAATTATGATAATATTTGTAACATAGAAGTATTTATAATATATAATAATAATTATACAACAATATATATACATTCGCAATATCGTTAAAAATTATTACATTTTAGTACAATTACTTTTATTTCTAATTATATATATATATATATATCCATATTATTGCTCTTATCTGTAAAATATGAATACAAATGATTAATGCTCGTTTATTTCCAAGTATCTTTTATACACATTTTACATAAGAGAAATTATTAATTCCTACGGACGTAATTAAACAATGCACATCATCCACGAAAATTCAAAGCAGATAATCCATTTAAAAGTAGTAATATACTGTTCAAGAGATAATGTATTCCACCGAGGATATATGATACATATATTTCTACTATTCGAAAATTACAATAGGATATAAAACAGTCCTATTTCTTTAATGGATCCAACTTAGAGAAAAAGAAATTGAAATAACCGATGGAAAAAAGATCACATTACTTGCATTCAATGATAAAAAAACAAATGAGATTTTAATTTATAAAGAAGAGATATTTTACCTTTTAGTATATTCTGTATATATCAGCTAAGAGAGTGCTAAGCATAACAACAGTTTGACCTGCTTAACAATTTGAACAAATCGAAAATAAAATGCATGAAAACAAATGCATCACATTGAATAACATGACAAAATGCATTTATTTATATACAATTTTCAATTTGTATACGTCAATCTGACGTATTGTATTAGACTTATGAAGTGCAAAACGAAATTTATCGCGAAATATAATTATACATATAAGTTTTAATATCATAAAGCAAATCATTATCAAAAACTCACATCTTAATGTAATGATAAAAAGATCAAATAACTATGGTTTCATTAGTAGTTTTCATACAAGATAATAATATGAATTAGTAAATAAATTTCTTTCAAACTAGAATCAAAATAAATGTATTTTGTGACAATTTTTATTACTCTTTAATACATATATTATTTGTTTTAGATGCAAACATTGTGTATATTAAAAATTATCATGAAAAAATTACGTACACTTATTCTCGTTAAATTCTTTCTTCTTTAATATCTATATATCTATTTTGCATTTAATTTTAAAAGGTTCGTACCGTCACCATTTTTCGCGCATAATTTGTCGATTATCTCGGAACTCGATGTCTTCAAATCGTACGCCAATCCTAACCAGGCCATGAAATCTATAAAGGCAGTCGTCAGATTGAGACGATACAAACCTAACTCCGCGGCCTTGTAATCCCACGGGAAACAATGATGGTAATTGTGCCAACCTTCACCGAGAACAAGGAAGGATAATATTGGATTCTCTGTTGCATTAAGATTCCTAAAACAAAACATAAAGAAAGAAAGAAATTTTGTTCGATCTGTACACGAAAAAACTTGAAAGTCTCATGTAACAGATTATTTAAGCAGAATAATACATTTTATTTCTACCTCTGTTATAGTACCTCTGTATGAAATTAGTAAATTTATCTTTTCGATGATCGACATGTATAAATACACAGAGATCTAAGAAAATCTTAAAATTCTAAAAAAAGGTCTTACTTCTTACAATATCAATTTTCCTTTTGTGTGACAAAATGAATTGACATTTCTCATAAAAGACATATACATGTATTATAAAACGCAAATCATGTCAGATGAAATGAAATCACAAATAATATGTTTTGTATAAATATACATTTTAGTAAAAAATTATGTTAAAAAAATTTTATATTAAAAATCTGATTCATTATATTATAATTCTATATTATAATTCTTTCAAACAATAGGAATTAATTTGTTGTCTTTTCTGTAATATTAGAAGATTATATTATAGTGGAATAATCTCATTATAAGAATTATTAGAAATAATTAAAATTTATTAAATAAAAGTATTATAATCGCACGCGCGAAGATTATCATGCAATGTCAATTAATATTTCATTATTATGAAATCCCTCATTTATAGAAAGAGCTAAAGATTATTCTACTTCATCTTCAAAATGTCTTAAATGTCTCGAAAAAGAAAATTTATAATCTTTTACGACAAATTGTGATACTTTCTTATTTATACTTGAATGCAATTCAAACGTATGATGATGATTGTTTGGATATGGCGATTGCGCAAATGTGAATCCAAAAGATTGATGTGTACCTGTCATACGGATGAGTGCCCCATGAGTGAGCAAAACTGTTGACAGCAAAAGTCGCATTCAATATAAGCAGGTGGCGAATGAGTGTAGCACCTATGCTTACTATCCAGGTTTCGTTCCATATATATACGGGTATCAGAGATGGTAGAACAAAGCATAACGATAGCATGATCGGCGAAAAATATCTACAATATAAAGCATTGTCCTTATTATTTAATGCAGTTGAGTTTTTTCTAGGATTATAAATCAATAACGCGAACTATAAGTCAAATTAAATTGCAAGATATACGGTCAATCTTGTCCTGATGAAGTTTCTCGCACAATTGATCTTTTTCACTCTCTCTCATATTCAACATCATTAAAGTCAAAGATCATCATCTTCTTTTCTAAACAATCATGTGAGCAATTTAGCTCCAACAATGATTGCAATTTCTTTGTGGATTTTTCCGAATTTTTTGTTTTTCATAATTTTGAGTGCAAATTATATAATTCTTTCCTTTTAATCATCTTTTAATATTGTTTTCACTTTAATTCATATGAATATAATAAGAGAGGGAGAGAAAGAGATAGAGAGAGAGAGAGAGAAAATGATTTAATAAATTATTATACTTACGGTTTTTTTATATTAAAATATTATTCTACTATTTTATTTCCTATATTTTATTGCAGGAAAATATGATTATTGTTTGAAATATGTTGAAATGTTAAACTCACTTATCGAAAAAACGTATCACAGGGTCAGCAGCAATATCGCTCATATCTACATTTTTACCATATTCCTTAACTGCTGGATGATGCTTCATCATTAACCAGCCAACATGCGAGAAGAAAAAACCGCGACTAGCATTATGTGGATCCGCGCATGTACCCGTGTATCTATGATGCGCTCGATGCACGTGAATCCATTCAGTAAGTCGAAACTACAAAATAGGAGACATTCTAGAGAATTTGTAAAAACTGCACAAACTATATTAGATAATCTTAAACTAAATATATCAATTAATTAATTGATCGAATGATTATATCAGCGAATATTTCATGATGATTACCTCTCCGGTCGTGCAGTAAAAACAAGTCAGCATAATTTTGAGTAGCAGTGTGGCACTATAACTCCTATGTGCCCAGAAACGATGAGCGCCTGCCGTTACACCCAAACCACCAAGGATTGCATATAACATTGCTGAATGGAAAATAAAATAAGAAAGCAATATCAGACTTTATTCTTTATCATTTCACAAACAAAATATTAAATATAATAAAATATATTTATTCTCAATTAGCTAATTGTAAAATGTTAATAATGAAAATTTAAATATTAAACTTTTCTTGTATATTGCAAAATGAGATAATGTGCATTAAAAAATGTCTCAAAATATTAAATTTTTAATTTATAAATAATCGAAAATGAGAAATTTTTGTAAGTTAAGTTCAAAATATGCAAATAAAGAGTATTCTTTATTCGATTTTTGTTTACATAGAAGAAAAAACGAGTGCAAAATATACTATATTTTAACATATATATTTCACTTGTTAAACGTTCGAGTAAATTAATTTCAAATTTTACAAAAAGACTGCGATATATATTTCTTTATCCATTATTCAATTCCAATGCGCACTTCATACTATAAAACTTGATTTAGAATCTAGACAATAGATGATATTACGAGATGGAGAATTTATGATTTTATTTGAATAAAAACGTACTAAATATCCAAGTCCCAAATTTTGCCTCGTTATATCGTGTGACGAACAAATAAATTGCAATGACGTGGAGAAGAGGGATACCAATGACATTGTGCCAAATCAATGGTTGTACCGCCGGTATGTTCTCTTTTGGAGGTTGATCGAGAATCGAATTTTTGCCATTCTTTGTTCCCAGTGTTAACTTTCGACTTTTATTCTCCTCATAATCGGTTATTGAATCGTACATTGCTGGAATAAAATATTTTCAACAAGTTAGTACCATTTTTTTTATTTTATTGAGCTATTGCATAGTCACAATATGCTAATTTTTTATCTTCCTATCTTTAAATTATTAGTTTCCACTTTTAGAGAAGACTTTTGCATAAATAACTATTTTATAAAAAAAAAAGAAAACTGTAGGAAACATAAGAAATTTTTTAGATATCAGTTTGAAAAAAATTATAAAAAAAGTGAGAATGTTTATACATGGAGAAGATACAATTCTTGACATGGCTATATCAAATTGTAAGAGAAAAAATGGAAAATAATGTTGACGTTGCATTTTTCAATATTTTATTGGAAATTAATCAAATTTGTTCGACATTTGTTGTACGTTTTGATATCAAAATTTAATAGTAGCATACAGCTGAAAGTAAGTATGTATCATATAATCTTGCTGTCATAAAATATTTTTGCCAGAAGAAAATTATGAGAACCCCGAATCATATTCCCCGAATTAATTAATTAATAAGAATGAAAAACCATATATTTGCAATTTTTTATTTGACTCGAAAAAGATTGTCGCGAGATATGTTGTAAAAAATTACGTTGCACGTTTTATAACATCATCGATTTTGTTATGTCTTCCTCATTGGTTTTGAAAACGTATGCCATTCATAATTTAATAATTTAATAATTTAATAATTTAATTAACAGTCAGAGAAATCATATCGTACTCATTAATCTATTTCTTGCATAAACTCGTATAATAATTAATTTTTTATAATTTTAGAATAAAACAGTGCAATACATTTATACAGGAAGTGAAAACTCATTGCTCAGACATAATGAATTTACCAATAAGTATTATTGAAATAGGAGTTGATAGTAGCAATGGACAATCAATTAGGAAACCGCAGGCCAAGAATTGGCCTGAATGCAAAAAAATTACTAACAATCATTTACGAAAATAAGTTGTAAAATTTGTTAATAATTTTTGATCATTTTTTATTTTATAAAAATAATTCTCATTTATAGTTTTATTGTATTTCTGAATATAAAACTTATAAAATATAATCGGAATCGTATATAAATGTTTTCTTTTTCAATTCAATATATATATGATGTATATGAAGATATATTTTTTTTTTAATACAAAAATGAGATACCACATAGAGATAATATGTCTTAACTCTATTATAACATTTTTTTATCATTTTTTTGGCAGACTATGAACTAAACGTACAAAAGAAAAACTTACAAAGGTAGAATAAAACGAAGAAGCATCGCTAGAAACAAAGGCATATGTTAAAAAATTACAAATGGCTATCCAGTTCTTTTTTAGAAAACAGAAAATGCAATTCTTGTAAATATTTAATCAAATATTTTTATTGAGTTAAAATGAATTTTTATTTTTCGAATTATTTAATTTAAAAAAAAATTATTTGTTGCTATAATATAATTACAATAAGTATAGGCCGTTTTTGAGTCTGAGAGAAAACGCTCTTTCCAATATTTTCAAGGAAATTGATTTCATAATTAGAATTTTTTAATTAATCAAAAATTGGTGTAATTATTAATAGTAATATTATTATTAAATTTTTGTAAATTTCAACCATCAATAAAATCTGTTCATCACAAGTGTATTTTATTATTAATTTAAGCAAATGTGAGGCGTATTACATTTTTATCCTAATCACATCAATCACAGAAACTCTACACTTACTACAAACAATTCCGTACTTGTAAATATCTAACGTCTCAAGATGCCATCGAGCGAATCAGATAAAGACGAAAGACAAAGATGTGCGTCACACTACATAACATATATCAGCACGATATTTATAAGGAATTCCCCACTGCCAATGTGTATCCAAAACATACTGTATCAAGGAAGGAGAAATGGATTACTACTCGGCGCGATTTTGTTTCAGTTCAAAATATATTAATTCTTTTTATCCTGAAACTTTGGTTATTCTTCCGATTTCCTATATTCTCTCAATTTCTCTAAACTTTTCGTGATTTTTTGTCACATCGGTATATGTATCATATCGATTATGTGTATCAACATTTATGTTACATAACGCGATACAATGATATTACAGCATATATGATGCACACAGATAATTAAAGAAAAACTGTGATTAAAAATAAAATTTTTATTTAACTATAAAGAAAAAATACGATACATATCTAAATACTATACCTGCAATTTTAAATAGATCAAATCTAAATCCAAATGATAAAGAAACTATATAAAACGGAGTTCAGAGGATGTCCTTTATATGTTTACTAATGCATTACGAGAAATTAAAAATATTTTTTTATCTGAAATCACCTTGACCACAGAAGTCGCGGGTCAGAGGTCCGTGTGATAGATCCGATGTATGTATCGTGTACGATAAAGCCTTCATTAAAATTCTTAAAATTCATAAAAGTGTTTAAAATTCCGCTTATTAGACCGCAGCAAAACTTCGCATAAGACTCTATGAGACACAGCTATGGGAAGTGTACTAACTGTTCAAATCATAATAAAAATGCGGTCTTCGAAAATTTCACTATGGAATTTTTAATAGCTAAAATAACTTTTTTTAAATATTGCTGTAAAAAAATTTATGCGCTCTACTAATTAAAATTTTCATTATACCATTTCGTAATCATAGAATATATCCGTAAATAAATACAAATTGAACACAAAGTATTTCAAAATCAATGAAATATACATAAAATTTTAATTATTTATAAATATTAATCAATTAACATAATTAACTATAAGCATTTCGTATTATAAACGGAATGACGAAACTATACTATAGCTAACTAATTATTATGAAAACTATTAATCTCTATTCTAACAATAATTTTAGAAACAAATTATAATAAGCTATATATACATATGTATGATAAAAATAAGGTACATTCCTACATTCCTGACGTAATTAAATAATGCACATCATCCACGAAAATTCAAAGCAGATAATTTATTTAAAAGTAGTAATATATTGTTCAAGAGATAATGTGTTGCACCAAAGAAGTATAACACATATATTTCTATAATTCATAAATCATACAATAAGATATAAAACAGTCCCGTTTAATCAAAGTCGGAGAAAGAAAAGTTGGAATAGCCGAAAGAAAAAAAATCATATTATTTGCATTCAATGAAGAAAAAGCAATATGAGATTTTAATTTATAAAAAGGTGAAATCGCCTCTTTTATAAATAATTTATAAATATTATATATATATATATATATATATATATATATATATATATATCAACTAAAAGAGTGTTAAGCATTTGACAGTAGTTTGACTTATCTTTTTCACAATTTGAACAAATCGAAAATAAAATGCATGTAAATTTTTACATGCATTACTTTACATTTGGTTTTAAGAGACCCATATTGTCACCTTTTTTCGCGCAAAATTTGTCGATCATCTCAGAACTCGGTGTCTTCAAATCGTATGCCAATCCTAACCAGGCCATGAAATCTATAAAGGCGGTCGGCAGATTGAGACGATATAAACCTAACTCCGCGGCTTTGTAATCCCACGGGAAACAATGATGGTAATTGTGCCAACCCTCACCGTGAGCAAAGAAGGCTACTATTGGATTTTCAGTTGCCTTAAGATTCCTAAAACAAAACATAAAGAACGAAAGAAATTTTGCTTGATCTGAGCTGTACACGAAAAAACTTCGAAATCTCATATAACAGGTTATTTAAGCGGAACAATACATTTTATTTCTACCTCAGTTATAATACCTCTAAAAAAAATTCCCTTTAGTAAATTTATTTTCTCGATGATCGATGTGAAAGCTTTATTTTAAAAGGTAGAAATAGAGGAAATCTTAAATTTCTAGAAAAAAAACTCTTAAAATAAAAAGACTCTTATGATAATTTTCAATTCTTCTTACATCAATTTTCCTTCTGTGAGACAGAACGAATACTCATTGACATTCCTTACAAAACATAAATATATACTATAAAATCACATCAGATGAAATCACAAGGAATATGTTCTTTATAAATATACAAATATATAAATATATTTTAATAAAAAATATAGTTATAAAAATTTAGTTAAAAAAATTTTATGTTAAAAATCTGATTCATCTGATTCATTATAACTTTATCAAACAATAAGAATTAATTTATTATCTTTTTACAATGGAATATTAGAAAATTATGTTATAACGAAATAATGTCATTATAAAAATTATGAGAAATAATTGAAATTTATTAACTAAGAGTATCATCAATCGCGCGCGCGAAAAAATTATCGTGTAACATCAATTAATATTTCATTATTAAATGAATATTAATTGAAACGCCTCACTTTTCCAAAGAACTGGATTATTCCACTTAACTTATATTAAATGTTTTATCGAAAAAGAAAATTTATAGTTTTCTACATGACAAATTGTGTGATATTTTCTTATTTATAATTGAGCGTTGATTCACAATTGGAACGATACGATGATTGATTTTTATAGCAATAGCACAAACGAATCCAAAGATTAAAGAAGAATCCAAAAGATTCATGTGTACCTGTTGTACGGGCGAGTGCCCCATATATGAGCAAAACTGTTGACAGCAGCAGCCGCATTGAACAGATATATGTAGCGGAAAATCGTAGCACCTATGCTTATTATCCAGGTTTCGTTCCATATATATACGGGTACCAGAGTCGGTAGAACAAAGCATAGGGAGAACATGATCGGCAGATAATATCTACAATATAAAGCATTTGTGCATTTAATATACTTGTGCTTATTATTTAGCGTAGTTGAGTTTCTTCTAGGATCATTAATCAATTATGCAAACTATAAATCAAATTAATTGAGATATGCGTTCAATTTTGTCCTGGTAAAATTTCTTGCGCAATTGATCTTTTTTAATCTCTCTCATATTCAGCATCATTAACATCACAGACCATCGTCCCCACTTTGAACGATTATGCGAGGAATTTAATTCCGGCAATGGCCGCAATTTCTTTGCGGATTTTATTCCAATTTTTTGTAAAAAATTCCATTTGTTTTTCACGATTTTTAATGCAAGTTATATTCTTTCTTTTTAATCATCTTTCTTTACTTTGAGCATAGATTCAAGTAAATATACAATAATACACAAAAAGATACATAGAAAGAGAGAGAGAGAGAGAGAGAGAGAGAGAGAAAGAGAGAGAGAAAGAGAGAGAATGATTTGATAAAATATTAAAATTATGAATGTGTTCGTATAAAAACATAATAGAATTTCTATTATATTTATTTCCTTTTTAAGAAATGCTAAATAGTTTTGTATTATATACATATTGTATTATATAACAAATCCTATCTTCTTTCTCTACTCCACAAAAAATGATAGTATATACTTACAAGGAAAGGTACCCAACTGTTACTCACGGATTCTAATAAAGAAACTTTGTACACTTGTAAAACTATGCAAAATAATAGACACGTATTTCTTTTTATCTGGGGAGAAGCGATTTTAAGGGCAGAAACAACCCCTTGTATACAGGATGGGCTATTTTTTTAAATAGAACCACCTACTTTTTATTGCATATTCTTGTAGGTTATCTCGAGAGCTTTCCAAAACACTATAATAATGTTACTGTAATAATGTTACTGTACGTCAGGTATTTTCCGAGTTATAAGGCTTGAAAGTTACATTACAGTAGATGAGGCAGTTGTTTCTGCCCTCAAAATCGCTTCTCAGATAAAAAAATACGTGTCTACCTATTATTTTGCATAGTTTCACAAGTGTACAAAGTTTCATTAGAATCCGTGAGTGACAGTACCTTTTCTTGTTAAAAAGATAATTAAATAATAAAAAATTAATAGAATAATTGAGAAACATATAATACATAAATATCTACGATTATACGTATAATATATATCTGAAATTATTTTTCTATTTTATGAAAGAGAAAAATAATTCTTAATATTTTCTTAATATTTTCTTAATTATTTTTGTGTTATATAAAAATTTCCATTTTTTTGAAAAACAAAATTTATATACTAATTCTTTATAAAAATTAGAAAAGACTAGGAATAAATATTAAGTATTTGGAAGAATAATTTGTAAGATAACAATTGACAAAATTGAACTGATTAGTGTATGCTGATAAGATAACAATTGACAAAATTGAACTGATTAGTGTATGCTGATAAATTCAATCAATTAGATTTTAATTATCATATGTTAATCACTCAACTGTTATATTTTCTATATCGTGATTGAGGAAACCATGGTTATTGTTTCAAATATGTTGAAATGTTAAACTTACTTGTCGAAAAAACGTACTACAGGATCGGCAGCAATATCGCTCATATCCACATTTTTACTACCTTCCTTAACTGCCGGATGACATTTCACCATTAGCCAGCCAATATGCGAGAAGAAAAAACCGCGACTAGCATTATGCGGATCCGCGGATGTATCCGTGTATCTATGATGCATTCGGTGGATGTGGATCCATTTAGTCAAACAAAACTACAAATTAGAAAATATTCTGGGGAATTTTTTAAAATTATAATACATGAATTAGATAATCTTGAATTATATTATATTTGATTCGTTCGATTAAAATTAATTGATGTATTCAGTATTCAATATTCAAATGATTATATCAATGACTATTTCGATGATTACCTGTCCGACCGAGCAGAACAAACAAGCTAGCATAATTTTAAGTGGTAATGTGGCACTATAACTCCTATGTGCCCAGAAACGATGAGCACCTGCCGTTATACCCAAACCACCAAGGATTTCATATGATATTGCTGAAAGCATATAAAATAAAATGAGAAAGCAACATCAGACTTTATTCTTTATCATTTTAAACAAAATATATGATATTAATTTCTCAGTTAAGTAATTATAAAATTATAAAAAAAAAAGTAATTATAAAAGTAATGAGAAATTTAAAAATGAAAATCTGAATATTAAGCTTCTTTTGTATATATTATTAAATGAAATGATTTGCATAAAAAAATATCTCAAAATATTAAATATATCTTTAACTTATAAACGAAAATAAGAAATGTTCACAAGTTAAATTGAAAATATGCAAATAAGAAATATTCTTTATTTCAATGTTGTGTTTGCATACAAGACAAAACGAGCGAATTTTAATATATAAATCTTACTTGTTAAGATTTTAAGCATTGAAATAAATTAATTTCAAATTTTACAAAAAACAACGATGCATTTCTTTATCTTTCAGCGCATCTTGTATTTTAAAACTTGACTTAAAATCTAAGCAATATGAAATTATATATGAAATAATGAAATTATATATGGGATGGAAAACTAATGATTTAATTTGAATAAAAACGTACCAAATATCCAAGTCCAAAATTTCGCCTCATTATATCGCGTGACAAATAGATAGATTACAATGATATGGAGAACAGAAAAAAGAGTGATAGAGGTCCAAACCAGTGATTGTACCACCGGTATGTTCTCTTTTGACAGTTGATCGAGAATCGAGTTCTTGCCATTCTTCGTTTCCAGCGTTAACTTTCGGCTTTTATTGTCCTCGTATTCAGTTATCGTTGAACTGTACATTGCTAGAATAAAATGTTTGAATAAAACGTCAACGTTGACATATTTGTTTATTTTATTGGTATTCGCTATTGCATATTAACTACACATGCATTTAGAATAATACTTATTCTGGCAAAGAAATCGTTCACATTATTTTAAAAGTCATATATTTGTTATTTATAATGGATATATGTATATACATATATATATATATATATATACAAAATTACTCGGGAAGATCTCACCTATAACATATTTAAAAATAAAGCACATCGGAGAGCGGGGCCCCTTTTATACATAAATACTTTAATAACTTTTGAATAAAGAACGCCAGCTAAAACCTTCAGAATATTAATTAGAGATGACCTTGACAACATATGTCAATGACACATTTGTGCGAGGGTGGGCCCTTTTTATGCATAATTACCATATATTTGTAAATTTTTTTATTTGGCTCTTGAAAAAAGATTGCCGTGAGATATGTTGTGAAAAATTATGTTGCGTTTCATAACATCGTCGATTTTGTCTTATTTCGATTTACTTCTTTCTTATATCTTTTAAAAACATGTCGTATTCATAATTTAACAATTTAATTAACAGCTAGAAAAATCATATCGCACGTCACTTAAAGATCACGTATAATAATTTATGTTTATGTTAGTTTAGAATAAAACTGTGTAATGAATTGGCGTCTTGCTAATGAAAATTCATTGCTTAGACATAATGCGTTTATTAATAAGCGTTATGGAAATAGGAGTCGATAGGTGGCAATGCATAATTAATTAGGAAAATTATTCACAACATCCGTTATGCCAAAAAAGAGGCACTATAATCGGTCTTACAGACAGAGTATTTCTTCTGTCAAATCCTATATTCCAACAAAAAAATTTTATTCTGATCATTAGACTTCTCATTGACAATGGCTACCCACTTGATTTCATATTTAACACAATCAACGCACGTTTAAAATATCTTTTCAACAAGAATAATTTAGAAAATAAGATAAACAAGATTGCGGATCCCCGACCTTTTTCTTGTTGCCTTATGTTAAATCGGTGTCTGAGAAATTTAATTCGCTCGCTAAAAAGGCTGGTTTTCGACCCGCTTATATCGGCTTAGACAACTTAAAACCATATATCAGAGCACAAAAAAATCCTCTCCCTAAATTCACTAAGAGCAATGTTGTCTACCGCATTAATTGCAACGATTGTAGTGCTTCTTATGTGAGGCAAACAAAAAGATTGCTAAAAAGGGATCACGGAACACCGCAATCAAATAAAAAGATGTGTTCAAAAAAATTTGGTTATTACAGAACATAGACTCCGTTTCAATCACGAATTGGATTGGGATAATGTTCAGATTTTAGATAATGAGCCTTGCTATGCGAGAAGACTAACATCAGAAATGTTGTTCATAAAGAGACAGACTTTCGGTCTTAATTTACAAGGGGACACTGAATTGTTGCATGAGTCTTACTTGCCATTTATTGAAAAGTTTAAAAAATTCTAAATTTTTATAACCAACGTATTTTCTTTATTTTCGAACTTGATTTCATTGTATATATTCAGCATCATATATTTGTTGTGATTATCGGTCGCTTCGTTTGTCTCGAAACTCAGGGGCCAACAGTCTATCTAATGTTTTTCCCTTGAGATAGACGTATTTCGTACATTGTCACGGCCTCACCGTTGGGCTTTTTTAATATTCGGTAGGTTATCATGTTGGTTAGTGTTGACACTTTAATTTCGTTCGATTCATATTTTCAACTGCTAATTGTTCTGTTGATTAAATTAGATAATTTGCGGCTTCTCGGCATGTTCCACTCTTGCATGTCTTTTCAAGGAAAATGTAGGTGGGAACATGCTTTGGAGATTGATATTAACAAGCAAGCTCCAGATGGTCGACATTTACAATTATGGGAACCTGATTCCGAGTCCATACAACTGAATATGCTGCGACACTCAGATGTAATTGTACAAAAAACTTCACCTTTTATTTTTTTATTTTATTTTTTTAATATTTTATTAATTTCCGTTCATCATTGTTAATTGTACTGAGTAGAGTCCAGACGAGGACCGAAACGTTTACATAGAACTTTTGATTTGTCAATATTTTGTGCGAAATTAGTTTATCAAATTATAACCTTTTAATTTTAATTTTTAATTTTTAGTATGCGAACAAATAATATGATTAAGGTTAACCCATTTAAAGTGTATTTCTTATATTAAATTTGACTTATATGTTCGTTTTTAACTTCAGTTTTATTTTTTGTTCCTCAAGCCCGATTAAGTACTGATTATTATATATAGGAGCCACTTTATATATTTTTATTTATATAATTTAAAAAAAATTATTTTTGTTAATTATATGATATAATTACAATAGGGTGTTTTTAAGTCCAAGAGAGAACGCCCTTTCCAATATTTTTAAAGAAATCGATCTTATTATTAGAATTTTTCAATTAATCAAAATTGATGTAATTATTAATTGTAATATTATTAAATCTTTGTATAAATTTCAATTATCAATAAAATCTGTTCATCATAAGTATATTTTATATTTATTTAAGTAAATATGAAGCTTATTACGTTGTTTTATTTTAATTATATAGAGTTTGTATACTTACTTTTCCGTATTTGTAAAATGTCTCTCGAAATGCTATCGAGCGAACCTGAAGGATAAAAAATTGATGTCGCACTACTTTTCATTCTGTTCTACTGGATAATATACAGTAGCACGGTATTTATAAAAAACTCCCCACTGTCAATGTGTATCCGAAGCATTAAAATATACATAAATATACATCAGGGAAAATGGAAATGTGGATTGCTATTTGATGGAAAGTAACGCGGTTTTGTTTTAGTCTAAAACATAAGATATATTAACTCTCCTTATCCTGAAACTTTCGCTGTTCTCCTGATTTCCTATGCTCTCTCTCAATTTCTGTAAACATTCTCCATTCTCTTTTTGTTACATCGATATATTATGTATCGATTATATATACATATATCGATTATATATATATATATATATATATATATATATATATGCATATTATATATGTTGCATTGATAAATTAAAATTTATATTAAAGAGATTAATTAATTAATAGAAAAATTACTATTAATTGGTGAAAAGAAAGGCTTGCTATAAACAATAAAGAAGACAGAAAATAATGAAGTAAATTAAAACATTGAATTGTTAGTATTCATTTGCGAATCTTTTTAATAAGTTACATGCAACTGCTTAATCCTTTATATCCTGAATTAATTTACTAGCAACTTTTTAATTTTTGCATTATTAGATAAGTATTTTTGCATTATTAGATAAGTATTTTTGCATTATTAGATAAGTTTTGATGCGTAATAACCCTAAAAGCGGTCATATTACGAAGATATAAGCGTTTGATTCAAGCGATATTTTCAAATACCGTCAAGAAATAAAAAGATGACTTTTATATAATTATGCAACTGTGTCTAACATTGACATCTAACATTGGCATTCAATGAATATGAAGTTGAAATTGAATAGAAGTTTTAATTACGACTTAAAAATATGTGTACAAAGATTAATTTATTTAAAATTATTATTTTTGAGATGCACGAGAATAAATGTTTTAATAATTTAGAATAATAATTTAAAATAATAAACCTATAATATATATATATATATATATATATATATATTTAAGCTTATAATATACAGGATGTCCTAGACCACCCGTAAACCCCTTTCCTTTCAAAAACTAAGCATTTTAGAGAAAAACGTTTTCAACAAAAATTGTATGGTTTTGAGGGGAACATAAGATAGTTAGTTAGTTAGTTAGTTTCTAAAAAATAACTATGTAATTATTTTGAAATATATATTTTATTATACCAAATCACTGTTTTATCAATGACAATATGTTTGTGTAAAGTAGATTAAACAATTGCACCAATAACGAAGTCAAGATGTTTTTTCATCTTTAATTCATATAATTATAATTATGCAAAAAACTTTGACTTTATGCAACTGTTTAATCTTTGCCCAGTTACGCATATGTTTGATCTTCTTTAGCAGAATATGAAATCGCAATAATTTATATTGCAAACTACTATTAAACTTACTATTTTAAATATATACAGGGTGTCCTAGACCACCCGTACACCACTTTTCTTTCAAAAACTAAGCATTTTAGAGAAAAACGTTTTCGACAAAAATTTTACAACCATAAAATATCTAGTAAAATATTCATTTTTTTATTATCTTAATACTTTTATGTACAAAATAATGAGAGGAATCAATTGATGTAAAGAAAACACACTGTTATTTTTAAGAAAAAATATGTAATTGTTAATTGCAAATTACATATTTTTTCTTCGAAACAATTATGTATTTTTTTTACACCAATTGATTCCTCTCATTATTTTGTACATAAAAGTATTAAGGAAAAATGAATATTTTACTAGATATTTTACAGTTCATGTATAATTAAGAAATGATTTCAAGCCTCATAACTCGGAAAATACTTAATGAAACCTAACTTAATTATAGTGTTTTGGAAAGCTCTCGAGACGAGCTGCAAGAATATGTAATAAAACGGAGGCAGTTCCATTTAAAAAATTGAAGGAGACCTTCACGTGACCTTCAAACGACTTTTTAAGGTCAAACCAATGACACCATCTTATGGCCCCCTTCAAGACATACAACTTTTGTCTGAAATTTTTCTAAGTATACATTTTTTCTAAGTAATATCAAGATATGTGATTGACAAAAATAAAATGAAACACCCTGTATATTAGTGTATATATGTATTTATCAACATATCGCATCTATGTTACATATGATATTATATTATAATATTATTAATAATAATGATATTATAATTCATACAACGCACAGTAGTTTAAAAAAACGGTAATCAAAAATAAAATCTTTCTTTATCAAGAGATAAATATACAAGAGAAAAAGAGATACGATACATATTTAAATATTCTATACTTGCAATTTATATATATATAATCTAAATCAAAATGATAAAGAAACTATATAGGAATTATATAGGAATTATATAATTATAGAATTATATAGGAACTATATAGGAACGGAATTCAAAGGAACTATATAGGAATTATATAGGAATTATATAATTTATAGAATTATATAATTATAGAATTATATAATTATAGAATTATATAGGAACTATATAGGAACGGAATTCAAAGGAATTATATAGGAATTATATAGGAATTATATAATTTATAGAATTATATAAGAACTATATAGGAACGGAATTCAAAGGATACCCTTTCTAATGCATTATGTGAAAATTAAAAATATTTTTATCTTAAATTTTATTCAATAACAAGTTAATTATTATTTTTGAATCATATTTCACATGCATGATAACATGTAAAATATATTGTTTAACAAATTTTTGACAAATATTTTTAACGATTACGATGTCGTTAATTTACATTTCTTATAAAGGCATGAATAAACAGAATGTGCAAATTGAATAATCATGAGCGCACATTACCATCAATCGTTCTTATTGTACAGTCCACATGTGCAGCCATTGTGGCAGTTCTTTTCTCGTCCCAGATTTTCTCGACGCTGTCGCGTATCGTGAAATGCGCGGGAACATTTACAGCGATATTAAAATGATTGATTACGTTGCACTATGACAAAAATAGACAAATGTTTATAATATATGTTCAGATAGAGAATTAATATTTATTCGATTGTATGAATAGATAAATAAAGATATATAAGATGCGGGAAGTTGTATAAACTGTTTATATTCTTTATGTAGACTGTCTCTATGCAAAACATGTACGCGTATGTGCGTTTGTGTAGAATGATATATATTAAATTTAATCGTCGGATAAAATAATGCAACATCAAGTTGATCCGGATTAATAACATTTTTCTGACGTCTTTCATTCTTTCTTCATTGGCGAGATGTGATTTTGCGTAAAGTGTTTACACAAATCGTCTTGACACTCAAAAAATTTTTTTGAGTGCAAGGTACGTAAAATCTGAAAAACTTCTATTTTTTAAATTAATATATATATATATATATAGTTTTTTGGACACGACTGTTATTCATTCGGATGGTCGGCTTTTGATAGCTTTAATAGATACATTAATTTGCATTCTAAGCATCCGTTTAAATATAAAATGAACACCATTTATAATCTTGTTGACTGCGCTATTTTATTATCAGACGTTCTTCACGACTTAAAAATATTGATAGTATCAATATTTTTAAAGTGAAATTGAACGTCTGATAATAAAAATTTTTTTTTTTGTAAAACAGATTCTTTTCAACAATTGTTTTCCAACTCAAATTATTAATCGTTAAATTAATTAATCTTCAAAAAAGATTTGATTTTTTAAAACATCGTGATAATATAAATATGAATACTGACTGTGATAATGCAGCTACATCTTTTTACATTTCTTTACCATTTGTAGAGGGCTTGAGTGATGAGATTAGCGTCGAGTGATGATGAGAGTCGCGTTTTTAAAAATATTGGTCTTAATGTTGTCGATAATGTAAAAAACTTAATGCATTGATTAAATGTGGAAAAGATAGATTGCCTATTAATAGCAGGACTAAAGTCGTTTATAAATTAGACTGTAAAAATTGTAATACGTCATATATTGGCCAAACGAAAAGACATTTAGGCACTCGTGTCAAAGAACATTTTAACAACATAAAATTGCACGAAAATAATCTTTAATTCGTCTCTGTCATTAGTAAACATAAATTGGAACTTAATCATGACTTCGATTGGTCAATACCGGTTATTTTACATAATGAAAAACATGTGAGAAAAAGAGAAATTGCTGAAATGTTTTTTATTAAAAAGTTTGACAACACTATTAACTTATAAAAAGACACTGAGAACTTAAACAATATTTATGATAGACTAATAAAAGTTGTTTAATCTTTCTCTTTGTATTTGATAGAGAGGTTGACATGATGTAACTTTGACACAGTGATTTCCTTATTTCTCACAATATAATAGTTAACTAAGATATTGTATGTATATAATTTTTTGCTCACTTTTAGTTTCAAATTACTGTAATTTATTTACTGCTTATAATACTGGAAATAATTTTTAGTTGATAAGGACCAAAACCCATCGAAACATTGTGATATATTACCAATCAATAAATTGCCAGTGTCGATTTAAATTACGTCTTTTATTTTATCTATTGGCGACATTTAAGAATTTAGCATTAAAAATTATTACATTTTACTATAACTTTTATTTCTAATTTTATATATATATATATATATATATATATATATATATATATATATACAGGATGGGGCATTTATCTTGAGACAAGATAATATCTCGATTGGAGTCGAATTGGAGTTATTTTGAAAAAAGTTTTAGACAAAAGTTGTATGGTTTCAAGGGGGACATAAGATGGTGTTATTAGTTTGATCTTGAAGAGCCACCTGAAGGACACGCGAAGGTCAGCTCCAACTTTTTAAATGGGATACCCTATATGCTTTTGCGTATTCTTGTAGCTCATCTCAAGAGCTTTCCAAAACACTATAATTAAGTTAGTTTTCATTAAGTACTTTCCAAGTTATGAGGCTTGAAATCATTTTTTAATTTTACATAAACCGTAAAATATCTTGTAAAATATTCATTTTTCGATTATTTTACCTTAATACTTTTATGTACAAAATAATGAGAGGAATCAATTGGTGTAAAGAAAAGACATAGTTATTTTTAAGAAAAAATATGTAATTGTTAATTGCAAATTATATTTTTTTTTTCGAAACAACTATGAGTTTTCTTTACACCAATTGATTTTTCTCATTATTTTGTACATAAAAGTATTAAGGTAAAATAATCGAAAAATGAATATTTTACAAGATATTTTACGGTTTATGTAAAATTAAAAAATGATTTCAAGTCTCATAACTTGGAAAGTACTTAATGAAAACTAACTTAATTATAGTGTTTTGGAAAGCTCTTGAGATGAGCTACAAGAATATGCAAAAGCATATAGGGTGTCCCATTTAAAAAGTTGGAGCTGACCTTCGCGTGTCCTTCAGGTGGCTCTTCAAGATCAAACTAATGACACCATTTTATGTCCCCCTTGAAACCATACAACTTTTGTCTAAAACTTTTTTCAAAATAATAGACTCCAATCGAGATATTATCTTGTCTCAAGATAAATGCCCCACCCTGTATATATATATATATATATATATATATATATATATATATATATAGTTATATTATGCTCATATATGTAAAATATGTTAATGATTAATTCTCTTTATTTCCAAGTATCTTTTATACACATTTCACATAAGAGAAATTATTAATTTCTACGGACGTAATTAAACAATGCACATCATCCACGAAAATTCAAAGCAGATAATCCATTTAAAAGTAGTAATATATTGTTCAAGAGATAATGTATTCCACCGAAGAAGTATAACACATATATTTCTATAATTCATAAATTATACAATAGGATATAAAATAGTCCCGATTTAATGGATCAAACTCGGAGAAAGAAAAGTTGGAATAGCCGAAGGAAAAAAAGATCATATTATTTGCATTTAATGAAAAAGAAAGCAAAATGATATTTTAATTTATAGAAAGGTGAAATTGTCTTTTTATAAATATGATATATATATATATATATATATATATATATATATATATATATCAACTAAGAGAGTGTTAAGCATTTGACAGTAGTTTGACTTGTCTTTTTCACAATTTGAATAAATCGAAAATAAAATGCATGTGAATAAATGCATAACATTCCATTGAATATCGACATGGTGACAAAATGCATTTATTTATACACCATTTTGAATTCACATATGTCAATCTAACGCATTGTACTAGATTTATGAAGTGCAGAACAAAATATATAAAGATACAATATATTATATAAGCTTTAATATATAAATCATATAAATAATTATGAAGAATTTACATCTCTTAATGTAATCATCAAGCTCAAATAATTATGATTTTATTATAGTTCACAAGATAATAATATCATTAGCAAATTTGTTTCAAAAATCAGAATAGATGTCTTGTGAATTTTTATTATAATCTTTAATATACACATTATTCGTTTTAGAACAAACAATGTGTAGATAAAGAAAAATTGTCAAAAAAGCAAGATTACATTTATTCTCATTAATATACATTTATTCTTATTAAATTTTTTAATTCTTTTTTTTATTTAATATCTATATATCTACTTTACATTTGGTTTTAAGAGGCCCATACCGTCACCTCTTTTTGCGCAAAATTTGTCGATCATCTCAGAACTCGGTGTCTTCAAATCGTACGCCAATCCTAACCAGGCCATGAAATCTATAAAGGCGGTCGTCAGATTGAGACGATACAAACTTAACTCCGCGGCCTTGTAATCCCACGGGAAGGAGTGATGGTAATTGTGCCAACCCTCACCGAAAGTAAAGAAGGATACTGTTGGATTCTGAGTTGCCTTAAGATTTCTAAAACAAGAAGTAGAGAAAGAAGAGAATTTCGCCGCTCTGAGCTCACTGTACGCGAACAAACTTCAGAGTCTCATGCAACAGATTATTTAAGCAGAATAATACATTTTACTTCTACCTCAGTTATAGTACCTCTGTATGAAATTCCCTTTAGTAAATTTATTTTCTCGATGATCGACGTATATGCTTTATTTTAAAAGGTACATAGAAAAGAAGAAAATCTTAAAACTCTAAAAAAAAATAAGACTCTAAAATAAGAAGAATTTTATGATAATTTTCAATTCTTCTTAATCAATTTTCCTTCTGTGAGACAGAACGAATACCCATTGATATTCCTCACAAAACATAAATATATACTATAAAATCACGTCAGATGAAATCACAAGGAATATGTTCTTTATAAATATACAAATATATAAATATATTTTAATAAAAAATGTAGTTATAAAAATTTAGTTAAAAAAATTTTATGTTAAAAATCTGATTCATTATAACTTTATCAAACAATAAGAATTAATTTATTATCTTTTTATAGTAGAATATTAGAAAATTATGTTATAACGAAATAATGTTATTATAAAAATTATGAGAAATAATTGAAATTTATTAAATAAGAGTATCATCAATCGCGCGTGCGAAAAAATTATCGTGTAACATCAATTAATATTTCACTATTAAATGAATATTAATTGAAACGCCTCACTTTTCCAAAGAACTGGATTATTCCACTTAACTTCTATTACATGTTTTATCGAAAAAGAAAATTTATAGTTTTCTACATGACAAATTGTGTGATATTTTCTTATTTATAATTGAGCGTTGATTTACAAATGGAACGATACAATGATTGATTATTATAGCAATTGCACAAACGTGAATCCAAAAGATTCATGTGTACCTGTTGTACGGGCGAGTGCCCCATATATGAGCAAAACTGTTGACAGCAAAAGCCGCATTCAACGTAACTAGGTAGCGCGAAATCGTAGCACCTATGCTTACTATCCAGGTTTCGTTCCATATATATACGGGTACCAGAGTCGGTAGAACAAAGCATAGCGACAACATGATCGGCGGATAATATCTGCAATATAAAGCATTTGTGCATTTAATATACTTGTGCTTATTATTTAGCGTAGTTGAGTTTCTCCCAGGATCATTAATCAATTATGCAAACTATAAATCAAATTAATTGAAATATGCGCTCAATTCCGTCCTGATAAAATTTCTCGCGCAATTGATCTTTTTTAATCTCTCTCATATTCAGCATCATTAACATCACAGACCATCGTCCTCATTTTTGAACGATTATGCGAGCAATTTAATTCCGGCAATGGCCGCAATTTCTTTGCAGATTTTGTTCCAATTTTTTGTAAAAAATTCCATTTGTTTTTCACGATTTTTAATGCAAGTTATATAATATTCTTTCTTTTTAATCATCTTTTTTCACTTTGAGCATAAATTCAAGTAAATATAATACACAAAAAGATAGATAGATAGATAGATAGATAGATAGAGAGAGAGAGAGAGAGAGAGAGAGAATGATCTGATAAAATATTAAAACTATGAATGTGTTCGTATAAAAACATAATAGAATTTTTATTATAATATATTTATCTCCTTTTAAGAAATGCTAAATAGTTTTGTATTATATACATATTGTATATAACAAATCCTATCTTCTTTCTCTATTTTACAAAAAATACATACACAAAAAGTATATACGTAGAAAAATAATTAAATAATAAAAAAGTAATAGAATAATTGAGAAACATATAATACACATATATCTACGATTATACGTATAATATATATATCTGAAATTATTTTACTAGTTAGTAACGTTAGTCTTTTACGAAAGAGAAAAATGATTTTTAATAGTTAATATTTTCTTAAATCTTTTTGTGTTATATAAAAATTTCCATTTTTTTGGAAAACGTACAATTTATACGCTTATTCTTTCTAGGGATTAGAAAAGACTAGGAATAAATATTAAGTATATGGAAGATTAATTTGTAAGATAACAATTGACAAAATTGAACTGATTAGTATATGCTGATAAATTCAATCAATTAGATTTTAATTATCATATGTTAATCACTCAACTATTATATTTTCTATATCGTGATTGGGGAAACCATGATCATTGTTTCAAATATGTTGAAATGTTAAACTCACTTATCGAAAAAACGTATCACAGGGTCAGCAGCAATATCGCTCATATCCACATTTTTACCATATTTTTTAACTGCCGGATGATGCTTCATCATTAACCAGCCAACATGCGAGAAGAAAAAACCGCGACTAGCATTATGCGGATCCGCGGATGTATCGGTGTATCTATGATGCGTTCGGTGGACGCGAATCCATTTAGTCAGATGAGTCTACAAATTAGAAAATATTTTGGGGAATTTTTCAAAATTACACGAACTAGATTAGATAATCTTGAATTATATTATATTTAATTTATTTGATTAAAATTAATTGATATATTCAATATCAGATGATTATATCAACAACTACTTCATGATGATTACCTGTCCGACCATGCAGTAAAAACAAGTCAGCATAATTTTAAGTGGTAATGTGGCACTATAACTCCTATGTGCCCAGAAACGATGAGCACCTGCCGTTATACCCAAACCACCAAGGATTGCATATGATATTGCTGAAAGCATAGAAAATAAAATGAGAAAGCAACATCAGACTTTATTCTTTATCATTTCAAACAAAAAAATATGATATTAATTTCTCAATTAAGTAATTATAAAATAAGAAGTTTAAAAATGAAACTCTGAACATTAGGCTTCTTTTATATATATTGTTAAATGAGATAATTTAAAAAAAAATATCTTAAAATATTAAATATATTTTTAACTTATAAACAAAAATAAGATAATATTATGAAAATAAAAAATTTCACAAGTTAAGTTTAAAATATGCAAATAAGAAATATTCTTTATTCCAATGTTGTGTTTGCATAGAAGAAAAAACGAGCGGATTTTGATATATAAATCTTACTTTTTAAGATTTTAAACATTGGAATAAATTAATTTCAAATTGTACAAACAACAACAATGCATTTCTTTATCTTTCAGCACATCTTGTACTTTAAAACTTGATTTAAAATCTAGGCAATATGAAATTATATATGAAATAATGAAATTATGTATGGAATGGAGAACTAATGATTTAATTTGAATTAAAACGTACTAAATATCCAAGTCCAAAATTTCGCCTCATTATATCGCGTGACAAATAGATAGATTGTAATGATATGGAGAACAGGAATAGCAATGATATTGCGCCAAATCAATGGTTGTACTGCCGGTATGTTCTCTTTTGGCGGTTGATCGAGAATCGAATTCTTGCCATTCTCCGTTCTCAGCGTTAACTTTCGGCTTTTATTGCCCTCGTATTCAGTTATCGTTGAATTGTACATTGCTGAAATAAAATGTTTGAATAAAACGTCAACGTTGGCATATTTGTTTATTTTGGTATTTGCTAATGCATATTTACTACATATGCATCTGGAATAATACTTATTCTGGCAAAGAAATCGTTCACACTATTTTAAAAGATATATATTTGTTGTATATTTTTATATATATATATATATATATATATATATATATATGATAAATAATATTAATACTTCTATTGCAGAAACTTCAGTATATATAATAATTAATGCTGTAGTGGGAAATTAAAATATAATACATATTTATTTTACCGAAATAATAATATAAATTTTCATTTTTCATTTTTTTCATGATTTTTAATTGTAACAAAAATAGAAATAATAATTAAATATATTAAATAAATAATAATTAAATAATGAATTCTTTTATAATATAATAAATTCTTTTTTAAATAAATAAATATTAAAAATTATAAATTTTTCATTAAATTCATTTAATTATAACGATAATTATAGCGATATAAAATTGAATTAAATTTATACCAAACTGCTCGTACGTAATAACGTATACAAAAATATAAATTTTTAAATCAATGTATCTATTGTTTATGTATCTATTGTTTTTATTCACATAACATTAAGATAGAATTTGAAAATTCACGTTGTTGTTATACATTTTATTACAGTTTATGATGCAAATCGTTATAAAGGTAATCAACACTTTTACTCACAAACTTATATAATGCATGATACGAGTAAGATTCATATCAATCTCTCGTTTAAAAAACGAGCTCACTGTGATTAACAAACTAAGAGCCTATGATGTATGAGCAGAATTCCATCATTCATAACTTTCTTTTGCGAGGAAATAATTTAGCATTTCCACGTATAAAACATGAAAACATAATTAACATTCATAGCCAACGTAATTGCACATTATGCCTGTCCAGCTGATCTTTTTCACCGACATGTTTTTAATCGAATTTGTCATAAAAGTAAAAGCGAATTATTCATCAAAGACGCATTACTTTTCGAATTTATATATTTTTGAAGTTATATATTTTTGTGATTATTGTCACGCGATACATTTTATGTGTAATGATCGAAATGATGACTGAAAAATCTGATTTGAGAAAGAACATGTATACAAAATAATTTTGTATTATAAAATTACATAATATTTCTGGGAATACATAATTGCAATCTCTTTTTTTTCTTTTATTATATTAATTCTTTCATAAAACTAATTGTGTAAAAACAAAATGTTACTAGAATGATCAATTTCTCAAAAATTAATTTGAGTTTACATTATGTATAATATTACAATAAAGTCATATTTAGTATATGTATATCCGAATATCAGTACATTCCTAAGCGATTAAATGTATATGGAAATATCAACAAAGTAATGTAATTACAAAGATGATAATGAATGATACGCAGTCACTTATACTATGCTAAATTTCTTTATATTCTGTTATTTATATTGCATATATCTTTAAATTATTAGCTTCCATGGACCAGATTTTCTTGCCACGTGCATAAATAATATAAATATCTTTTTTATTAGAGAAAAATGTAAAAAGTATAGAAAATTTTTTGAATGTTAGTTTAAAAAAAATTATAGAAAAAAGGAGAATTTATACATGGAAGAGATACAATTTGTGATATGGCTCAAATTGCAGCAAGGCAAAGAGTGTAAAATAATGTTGACATTGCATTTTTCAATATTTTATTAGAATCAAATTTGTCCGATTCTACAATTTCTATATCAAAATTTAATAGTAGCATATATGTAACTGCAAATAAGTATACATCACATAATTCTGTTGTCATAAAATATTTTTGTGACAAGAGAATTATGAGAACCCCGAATCATATTCAAATTAATTAATTAAGAATGATAAATTTAATTGAGAATGAAAAACCATATATTTGAAATTTTTTTTATTTGGCTCTCGAAAAAGATTGTCGCGAGATATGTTGTAAAAAATTATGTTGCATGTTTGTAACATCATCGATTTCGTTCGATTTACATCTTTCCCATCTCCTTTAAAAACGTATTGCATTCATAATTTAACAATTTAATTAACAGCTAGAAAAATTATATCGCTCGTCAATCTATTTCTCACTTAAAGACCTCGTACAACAATTTACGTTAGAATAATACTGTGTAATGAATTGGCGTCTCGCCAATGAAAACTCATTGCTTAAATATAGAGTATCAATAAGTGTTATGGAAATGGAAGTTGATAAGTGGCAATGCACAATTAATTAGGAAACCGTATAGAACTCTAAATGCTGCTCTAAATGCAAAAAAAAATCAATAACAAAATCAATAACTTTTTAGGAAAATAGGTTATAAAGTTTATTGGTAAGTGTTCATGATCATTTTTCATTTCACAAAAACAATGGTCATTTATATTTCTAAAAGTATAACTTATAAAATATAATCAAAGCTATATATAAATATTTTTTTATTCAATGTATATATGAGAAAGTACATGAAGATTTTTCTTTAAAAATGCAAAAATGTTTCATATAAGGGTAATATGTCCCAGCTCTATTATAACATTTTTTTATCATTTTTCCTAGCAGACTATAAACAAAATATACAAAGAAAAATTTACAAAAGCAGAATGGAACGAAAAGGCATCGCTAGAAACAATGATAAAAGTTAAGGAATTACAAATGGGTATCCAAGTTTTTTTTTAAATAGAAAGATGCAATTCTTGTATATATTCAATCAAATATTTTTATTGAGTTAAA